GGGGGGGGGAGGGGCTGCGCACTCCAGCGGATCAAAGCAAGTTCGATATAACGCGGTTTCACCTATAATGCGGTAAGATTTTTTGGCTCCCGAGAACAGCGTTATATCGGGGTAGAGGTGTAGTTCTATACAACAGAAGAACTAGACAGAACTAGATGGTTTTGAATATAGTTGTCTCTCCTGATAAACATGCATAGCCATACAGATCCAATGGCCTCTGAAATATAATAATTCAGAAGGGCATTCAATATTTTCCAGTGCTCTACTGAGCTCACTAGCACCAATTCTAATTTATGCTTCCAAAAAACAAACAAACTATCTTTAATTTCAGAGTGTCAAAGAAAACTATTGAGGCACAATTACAGGAGTATTAAACTTCTATGCGAATGATTGGGTTTTTGCTCAATAACTATTCAATAATTAGTATAATTCAGGAGCTACCACATCTCAGTCATTTGGAGTGAAATTCACTTTTTGTACCTTCATAATAAGGCAGTTTTTCCAGTGAAAGATATAAAGATTTAGGCTCTGATTCTGCATACTGAATGTGCATGGATGACCCCCTGTGCCAATTCAGAACCCCTAACTTTACCAGGGATTCCACACAAGCGGAAAGAACTGCTTGTGTGAATCTAATTTGCATGACTGTGGCTTAAAACAGTATACAGCTTTAAGTTCCCAAGCAAGCCTTGCAACCTTTGCATTCCTGTTCAAGTACAAAGGTTTTCCTTACAAAAAGATTGGTATTTCATGGATCCATTTGAAACATTTCAAAAATATCTCATCTTGACAGGATTCTTTTCTGATCCACACTTTCATCTCACATCCTGGGGATGCCTTTTAAACAGTGATGCCTAATTCTAGAAACAGACAGTTATCACAAAAGGCTTATTGGGAACAGATTTTAGGTATGTCTACGCTGCAATTAAAAACCTGCAACTGGCCTGTGCCAACTGACTTAGGCTAAGGAGCTGTTTAATTGAGGCATAGATGTTCGGGCTTGGGTTGGAACACTGGCTCTGAGACCCCACCAAACATACCCTAAATGATCTATGCTAATGAAGGATTGTTCCCCAATAGTATGCTAGTAAATTTACTATCCACTAACTGAAGAGTAACAGTCAACTTACATGCTTCTTCCTGAAATCAAATGGGAGATATGAATGCTCAACACCTTTGAAAATATAGCCACTTAATATGGATTTAGGTACCTAGCTATACACACCCACAATTTCGCAAGTTTGGGCTTATTACAACATATGAAATTACGCTGACTCTAGAAGAAAAGTGTAGTTGTAGACATGTCAGTCCCAGGATATACGAGACACAAGGTGGATGAGGTAAGATTTTAGAGGCCCAACTTCTGTTGGGGGGTGGGGGGAAGAGAGAAGATTTCAAGCCACAGAGAGCTCTTCTTCAGGTCTGGAAAAGGTACCTGAAGAAGAGTTCTGTGTGGCTCGAAAGCTTGGTGAGAGAGACAACAGAAGTCGGGCCACTAAAAGATATTACCTTATCCACCTGGTCTCTCTGAAAGAAATTTTTCTTCTAATTACAGCAGCCATTTTGACTAGAAGAGGAAAACAATCGAAGTGACTCTATAGAATCAGTCCTCATAGTTTGTGTTTTCCATACCAACAAGGGAGGAAAGACATTCAGAAAACAGGAAGTTGTGATTGTAAAAGCAAAAAAAAAGTTGAAGCGGAACTTAAAGGGCAAGTTTAAGGCATTTCTAAAATATGTTTAGATTTCGAGTTGGATGATGGCCTTTTCAATATCCCAAACTATGGCACTTTGACTACTTTCCTGCGAAGACTGTTCTAGAGCCTAAGATCTTCCTGTAAGGAAGCTTTCCCTGCCATTCAAGCTAAGGGTTGTCTACAGAGAGAGTTATTCCAGAATAAAAATGTCCATACAAGGAGTTAATCAGGAATAGTTAATGTGCTTTAAAATTCAGACCCTACCTTATTCTGGATTAGTTTTCATGTGTAGAAAAGCCCTTATTTTTCCATTTCTTAATTTCATCCCATTACTCTTAATTATATTGCATTATATTACCTTAAATGATCCCTCTCCCCATTTAATATTAACATCCTTCAAATTTGTTTTATTTATATTCCCCACACTGTTACTTAGCCTAGTTATAAGACAGGATATCACAGCCCACTGCATAGACTTACACTTATAAAACCATAAAGCCAATGAGATGTTTACACAAAATACAGCAGAATACAGGATATACATACTGAAGAGACTGCAGCTGAGCTCAAATCTAAGACACATTGTCTCAACTGAAATTGAGACTTGGTACTTACTAGTAGTGTCTTCACTGCCTCCAGTGTCGCTAGCCATTTCAACAGGCAGGCTCTGAGCCAATTCCAGTTTCTCAGGGATATGCAGATATTTAATAGTGGAGATATGTGTAACAGAGGAAAGAGAGGAGGCTGAGGAAACAGATGAACCAGAGGAGCGGGTGTCTTCCTGACTTGCTTCCATAATTGGGCTGTAAATGAGAAGACTATCAGCTACTCAATCTTCCAGCTGCTGTGGTGCCTGGATGCCAATCCCTTAGCTACAAAAATATGCCAGACATCCCCAGTAAACACTGAATGAATTCACAATCCCCTTTTCATCCTGAAATGGAGACTGGACAAGCCCTCATGAGCCAAACCATTAATATATTAATAAGGAAGTAGGAAACCCTGAAATATAACTGGAATTGGTTATTCTGTCTAACTTTTTGGCAAAAATTTTTACTCAGCTTTAATCTTTAGATACACAGAGCATGAAGTTAAACATTGAAGCAAGGCTGTGACTGTTGGCTGAACAATGAATTCTATTTTATTGGTGTAACATCTCAAAGAATGGCAAAATGCAACCCAAATCCTGGACTGAGCTGGAAAAATGATGTGTTAAGTACACTCAGCTCTACTAAGAATATTCGTTACATCTAATCTTGGGAGAGAGACTCCCAGCAACCAAAGACTCAAACAGGAAAAAAGAGCATAAGGTATTTTGCTCTTGATGGAGATGTGATCCATAGAGAATTACCTCAGCTTCTTAATGCAAAGAGTTTCATTGTAGATACCCTCACAAATAGGGATTTGCTGGCTCACAGATGTGCTCTTAGGCTCTGGACACTCTTCCTTCAGGGTACTCTCTGGATTGGTAGGAGGTTGGATTCTCTGTGCCACTACACCATGGAAGGGAGTTGATGCCAAGTGGGCTGCCCTAACAAAGTCACACGTATCTTCTGGGCTGGGGCAAAGGGTTTTGTTCTTATAGGAGCCAGTCAAAATTGCATCTTCAGCTAAGGGTTCAATTCCATGGAGCTCATCCTGAAACAAGTAGAAAGCAGAACAAATTAGGTGACAGCTACCACCCAGCCTCTTGATTTTATTTTATTTTTGGTCTTGAACAGTTTCTATTAAAAAGCCTGTCATATAAAAAGCCTCTGAAGATATCTACCGCCCCCTACTCTCCAACACAAAAAGCAACAACTTGTTACTCATTTTTAGCTTCCTTCCTGAAAACTTCCAGATGGCAGACTACTGGATGTCCTTGTTATTTATGCTGATTAACGATGTAAGTTGTACATCATTCTGCTTTCTGACAGTTTACAGTAGAATCTCAGAGTCACGAACACCAGTTACAAACTGACCAGTCAACCACACACCTCATTTAGAACAAGTACATCTCTACCCCAATATAACGTGACCCGATATAACACGAATTCGGATAGAACGTGGTAAAGCAGTGCTCGGTGGGGGGGGGAGGGGGGCTGCGCACTCCATTGGATCAAAGCAAGTTTGATATAACGCGGTTTCACCTATAACACGGTAAGATTTTTTGGTTCCCGAGGACAGCGTTATATCGAGGTAGAGGTGTAGTACGAAAAATCAGACAGCAGCAGAGACCAAAAAAAGCAAATACAGTACAGTACTGTGTTAACTATTAAAAAAATAAAAGGGGAAGCAGCATTTTTCTTCTGCATAGTAAAGTTTCAAAGTTTTGAAAGAACCACCATGTTTTGTTCAGTTACGAACATTTGAGTTACAAACAACCTCCATTCCCGAGGTGTTCGTAACTGAGGTTCTACTGTATATGCAAAATATACAACTAAAATTATTCTTCACTTTTTAATTTTTAAACCCATGTCACCTCCTCCAATGCTCTCTGTCCCCTTTCTCACTCCTTTTCCAGTTCATACTATTCCCATAGCCAGTCCAGTCATCTGATCATCCCCTTCTTCCCACTGCACAATCATCAACATTTGTATTTCTCTTCCCTTCTGGCTCTTCTCATCTTGGATGAAAGGTATCTCTAGTACAGGCTTCATATGCTCCTCCTATATCATACTGTTAGTTTCAGTTGGGTAAGTGAGTTCTGCCTACCTAGAGTTATATCATTTTGTTTCTCTCCTGAGCTTTGTTTAACATAGTGTTGCTGAGAACTGTTTAAAGCTTACTACCATTCACCTCAGAAGTGGGTGAATTTCAGTGACTAGTAAAGTGATCACCGAACAAAATTTATTTCCATCTAAATCTGTGTATGTTCAGTAGGCACATTATAAAAAGTTAAAAATCAAAAGTATATCAAGCATTAAAATCCTTCCCAACTCAAAACAGACAGCCTTCAAAGCCACTAATGACTTCCGAATTCCAAAGTCCTAAAGATCTCTTCTCAATAATCATTCACCTGCAACACCCTGAACCTTTGACACAACCACTCTCCACATTTCTCCTTGAGACCCTCAGTTTCTTTGGACTTCAGGACTGTCCAATTCTTAGTTCTCCTACCTTGCTAACCAAGCCTTCAGAATTAGAATTGCCTCAGGAGAAAGATTTCCTCAGTCTTCCCTTTTGGACATGCCATAAGGCAGTGGTTCCTAAACTTTTTAATAAAGGTGACCCACCAAATGCATTTTTGTCTTTTGAGGGCCCCCATTGCTCCTACTTCCTCATCTCCCCTCCTCCACCTTCCTTCACAGCTGTCCAGCCCCTGCTCCCCCCACAACCCCTTACTCTCCCAACCCTACCCCCTCCTGCAGCCCCTAGCTGGACCCCCCTCTCTCCCCATGGCCAGGCCACTGTCCCCACCAGGGTGTTGTCTGCTTGCTAGCTCCAGCTGTTTCCTCTGTACTGTTGCTGCTTCCCAGATCCTGCTCCCCACTCTGCTGCCTAAGGGAAGTGAGAACAGGATCCAGGCAGCAGCAGCACGAAGGAAGCGGCCTCCAGGCAATGCGCAGGGCAAAGCAAGGCTGCTGACTGACTGCTCACTGGCTCTGGCAGCAGCAGCACAGAGGAAGCAGCCATCTGGATCCTGCTGCCCTTGTCACTGCCAGATGCTCAGGGTAAGTGGGAGCAGAAGGGGACACACACAACCCATGATGTGGGAAACACTGCCCTAAAGGCCAGTCTTTTCTCCTTTCCATTAGCCTTCTGGTTGCCTACATGTACAACCATTGTTATTTTTACCCTTCTACCCCGCATTCTGTACAGGATCCCATACCTCCTCAGAGATGTCTCACCACTTACACATGGCAAAAACTGAACTTCTCATCTTCCTTTTGAAACTGTGCCCTGCCTACTTTCTCCATCATTGGTGACAAATCCAGTCTCATTCCTATCGCTCAAAGTTGCAACTTTGAGGGTCTCTTTTACTCTTCCCTTTCCTCGACATCTTGGCTCTCACCAAATCTAAATGCTTCTTCCTCTATCACACTGCCAAAAAAACAAAAACGCCCCTACTTCATCCTCTCTTCAACGAAGCCATGGTTCACATCATGGTTATGTATCACATGAACTACTGCAGTCTTATCTATTCCGTTTTCACTGATATTCACCTTTCTCCTCTTCAATCTATCCAGCATTCAGCCTTAATCATAGCTCTGGCCATCCTAATTGTATCTTCCTCTCTCAAATCCCTTCACTTGCTCATTACCTACTTCCGCATAAAGTTCAAACTCATCATGACTGCTAAGGCTCTGCTCAACTCTGCCCCCTGCCTTGTTATCCCTCACTCCCCACTTTGTACCTTGTCTCTTCTTGCTTTTTTACTGTTTCCCGTCTTGCCCTCTCACCTTAATGCCTTTTCCATTCTGTTTCTAACCACGCATCAGTTGTCTTCTCTCTGCCCACTTTTATAGCCTTGTTTTCTGTCACCAACTTCCATTTCTGTGCAGTGTCCTCCTCCCCCCATATCACTCCCTACTTTAAAATCATCAGAACTTTTATGATTTGCTTGTTATACAAGTGATTTTTGTTCACTTCAATCCTCCTTTCTTTTTGCCTACATTCCATGTTTGTCCAATTACACTGTAAACTCTGAAGAAACGACTAGGTCTGTTCAAGTCGTATAAGAAATGGTCATTAACATGCCATAACTACATTATGCTTTAGTGTTTTTTTAAAGCATCCCTTCACCCCAAAAAAGCTGCACTCATGTCCTGATCAGCCACGTCTCAAGAGAAAGCTAAAAACAAACAAGTCTTGCAGTGTGATCTGAAGGTCACTCCAATGGCTCGCAAACCAAAGAGAAAAGCCAGGGATCCCTTTCTGAAAAGTATGGTACTGCTAGTTTCCATCAAGGACTCATTAGTCCTTCTATCACACCATCACCAAGTTCAGCAATAGCACATTCTACACCTCCTCCTCCTCTCCTCCAAGAGCTGATAGAGGAAATTTCTCCTTACGCAGACTTCTGGTGATATGTTTTCCTTGGCGGCGATACTATCTGAAGGTTTACGAACAGCAAGGGGACGTCGGGCACTTTTCTGTGGGTGGCCTGCAGGATGACTAAACAAAAAGTTACATTGCATTAAATATTTACAAAAATAACTTTTGCTCTTCTATAGAGACTTAATTCACTCAACACTTCAAGACCACTTTGCCTCCTTTTTAGGACAGAACTACAAACCAATACAATAAACTACTTACCAAGAACAAAGACAATCTTGTTAAGGTAGTGTGTGTGTGTGTGTGTGTGTGGGGGGGGGGGGGGGGGAAGAAATGAGAAGATGCACTGTGAGAAGAGAATAATTATGTGAAATTAATAAAGGAAAGATTTAGGATTAATATCGGGGAATTTTTTTCCTGACCATGAGGCTGTGGAGTCTCTCAAGAGCAATGAGACAAAACTAGACAATGCAAAAAAAGGAATACTGTCATGAATAATTGTGCTGTAGAGGGAGTGGTATGGGGGTAGTCTAGGCAATTTATTATGTATACGTTTCAGTGATTCTATAACCTGACATTCTGGTTTTCTGAAGCAGACGATTCATCAAATATGGAGAAAAACGTAGTAGGATCCAGTGAAGGAGGGAGATCTGCATCTGGAATTAAAAACAGAGACTGGGTAATATAGATAGATGCTCCTGCACAGCACAATGCACACAATGGTGCTTCAGACCCATATAAGACAGCTCAAAGTGCCTGTCCTAGCAGGAAGTATTTGGACTCATGCTTAAAAGCACCCCATTTAAAACACAATAGTGGCTCATAGTGTTAAGATCATTTGGTTTTGCCATGTTAAAGAAACTCAGAGTAAAAGGATCATTCTTAATGAGCCAGTGTGCTGTGTCTGGAATTTTCTTTATAGCTTGTACCTTTTTTCTTAAGTGTGGTCTCAATTTTCTGCTCATCCAAAAACACATTGTCTCTCCGGATTTCTGAGCGCACAGCTAGAGGCTGGGTTATTTCTGTCAATAAGGAATAGTAATCTCATGTCTGACCATCAAGAAGATAATTTCGTCAGCCTACACCCTTTCAGGAACGAGTAGAGTACACAAGGTCTGAGAAAAGGCATTCTCAGCTACAGCAGTCCAACTGTAGAATACTACCAGCTCCTCCAGAAGGCACTCTAAACTGATATCAGTCTCAAAGAGAGAGAGTATGAAACTCTAGAACTGTACTCAGGAAAAGGAGGAAGGATCCTCAGCTATTAAAATTATTAGGTTTGCAGGTCTCTTTAAATAATCACACCTCTTAATCAACAGAACACTGAGCATCTGAGACCCCGAACAAGACCAACGCCAATTAAGCATGTTCTTTTCACTATTCTAATCCACACAGTTCTGCTATTCATTTGAATGACTACTTCCCATCAGCACAGCCTTCTCTCAAAATGGTATCAATGCAAACAGAACTTACCCTTGGAGCACGGCTGTTCGTGCTGCTGAGCATTTTCTGCCAACTGGGACTCACTGTGAACAAAATATAGGCAAGTTTTTAATACATGCATGCAGCCCCTAACTAGACTTAGTAGACAAGCAAGCTGAACTCAGCTATGGTGTAACACACTAAATATTACTCTTCTCAGACAAATTATTAAAATCCTCTGAAGACAGATACCTGATTCTGTTCAGAGGCCAATACAGAGATCAGGGTATATTTTGATGTATGATAGTTTTCCCAAAAACATGAGGAAAAATTAAAAAAAAAAAAAAAAACAGGGTTCCCAGAAAGTGATCCCTACTAAAAAAAAAAAACAAAAAAAAACACATTGAGGCAAAGCCTCACCACCTCCTGCTCCCAAAGCAAATCCTGCACTACCTTTGCAATCCAGTCAGTTTCTTCACAAGAGATGCTGCAGTGAGTGCTACTGCACTGGAGAAAGCAACTTCTCCTTGTGCTTCAAGAGGCTCTGAAGTGCCCACCAAAACCGATTCCATTCTTGCAGGCTCCCTCTCTTCTGTTGGCTGTGACCATGAAAGGGGGAGTGGCAGAGGTGAGAGAGACAGCACTCAGTGAGCGAATTGCAACCCATACTACCAACTTCCAAAACTGTATGCGATAGCTCTCCGTGTGTAGTTAAAGTCAAGATAGATTGATCCTTATTTAAATCACCAATTTTAATGATTTAAAATCAGAAAGCAGATAACTTATTTAAAACAATTTAAATCATGCTTCCTGTATGCACTTTATTTTTCTAAAGAAAGATTCTCATTGGTTGGTATAATAATGATGTGCTGATTATTTACAATTAAATATAGTTTTTACACTAAATTTGGTACTTCATTAGCCAGGAGGATGCAGCATAACTACACACATTTATTTGAGCAATTACATAGCTTAATATAGAAATTAAGAGTGTAAATAAATGTAAGAAAGTGCATGGTTAGAAAGTGTCTTTACTAGATAATTAACTGTTTATTCATAATTTGTGTCTAGCTGTATTTGGATGGACGTTAGAATTCTGTTTGGGTATTTTTAAACAGCATTTTTATTTCTAGTTAAAAACTACCTTATGTATGCATTGGATACATAAGAAAAAAGTATTTCTGCTAAACTTTCCAGCAAATTACTAACATTTGGAAAAAAGTAAAACAACATTCACTTCACTTTTAGGATTGAAAATTATATAGAAATGTAGTGCAGCATATGACAGACTGTGCCACATTTATAAAGGTTGACATCAGAAGTGAAAAATGTTTTCTTCCAATTCAATATGTAAAAAGCAGCCTTTAAGTAAATAAGTTTGAGGTGGGCTCTTGCATTTCGTATATTTTTATTTACACAATTTCAATAGAAGCTCAGGGCTTAACATAGGTTGTCAAATTTAGTTTTAAAAGAAAAAATTAAAAAAAAAAAAAATCAGATTTAAATAAGTCAGATTTTTTAAAGCCATTAATTTTTAATCCATCATACTTAAAATAAACTGGAAAAAAAACCTATAGAAAACAATATTTCTCTCATCTTTCAGTTATTAGGGTGGTGGCCTTATGAGTTATTTATACCAAAAATTTAAATATCCCTTCAGAGTAAGAGGGAGGAAACTGTACAAGCCAGATAAAAAACAGGAGTCACTGTTCCATTAGAAGTTTCATCTGCCTTCATACAGGTAGGCCATTAGCACAAATGAACAGGGAAGAAGATACCTGCTCAGATGGTCTCTGCTGCTGGTCATCATCTTTCTCCTTTAGCTTCTTCTCCAGCTCTTCAATCCTCCTCTGCATCTCTGCTGTCTGCTGTGCTATGGCATGAAACTCCTCTAAAGAAGGAAAGCCTAATTCAAGTATTATGTATTCCTTATGAGTAACCCTGTAGCCAAGCCCAAACTATGCACATCCCCAGTAACAGACACAAGATCCTCTTGTAAAGAAAAAGTTTCCCCACCTCCTTCCTGGTGAGTGGTATTTATTTAAGCTATTAACTAGGGCTGTCAAGCAATTTAAAAAATTAACCGCGATTAATTGCACTGTTAAACAGTAATAGAATACCATTTATTTAAATATTTTGGGGTGTTTTCTACATTTTCAAATATATTGATTTCAATTACAACACAGAATACAAAGTGTTCAGTGCTCACTTTATATTTATTTTATTACAAATATTTGCACTGTAAAAAAAATAGTATTTTTCAATTTACCTAATACAAGTACGGTAGTACAATCTCGATTGTGAAAGTTGAGCTTACAAATGTAGAGTTATGTACAAAAAAACTGCATTCAAAAATAAAACAATGTAAAATTTTAGAGCCTGCAACTCCACTCAGTCCTACTTCTTGTTCAGCCAATCGCTCAGACAAACAAGCTTGTTTACATTTGCAGGAGATCATGCTGCCCGCTTCCTGTTTACCATGTCACCTGAAAGTGAGAACAGGCGTTCACATGACACTGTTGTAGCAAGCGTTGCAACATGTTTACATTCCAGATGCGCTAAAGATTCATATGTCCCTTCATGCTTCAACCACCATTCCAGAGGACATGCGTCCAAGCTGATGATGGGTTCTGCTCGATAACAATCCAAAGCAGTGCAAACTGACGCATGTTCATTTTCATTATCTGATTCGGATGCCACCAGCATAAAGTTGATTTTCTTTTCTGGTGGTTCAGATTCTGTAGTTTCCACATTGGAGTGTTGCTCTTTTAAGACTTCTGAAAGCATGCTCCACACCTCATCCCTCTCAGATTTTGGAAGACACTTCAGATTCTTAAACCTTGGGTCAAGTGCGGTAGCTATCTTTAGAAATCTCACATTGGCACCTTCTTTCCGTTTTGTCAAATCTGCAGTGAAAGTGTTCTTAAAATGAACCACATGTGCTGGGTCAACATCTGAG